GAGAAGCGTTTCTGTGTTTCTATTCTATTCTCCTATCGCTAAGCAGAAAGTTCATAAAACTATTTTTTAAGGGTTTTTGGAGAAAGATGCAAGAATAATTTAGCGCTCTGACCGTTCATCTAGTTACATGACATGACAATAATCCCTCCAAATACCAGCTTAAATGTTTGCTTTCTTCAAGGTGAGAGCAATCATTTGGGAACTGTAACGTTCCCTTCCATGCTATGTAATTTATCTACCTTTTTTAATTTTTAAACCCATGTCATTTTCTTCAATGATGTTTGTCAGTGACACGACCTGAGGCAATCTGCTAATATTTAGTATCTCCTCAGTCACAACTGCTTTTGCTTAATAAAAAAGTATTTAAACTCCGTTCTGTGGTGCGGTGGGTTTTTTTCCAAAAGGTGTACAAACCCTGACAAGTACTGCGTTATTTGTAAGACCTGCAAAGACACCACCATCATTTTAACTCTACAAGACATAATGCAAAACACTGTTTCCACTCAATGACTTTGCTGACACGCCGTGACCAACTGATTTATCTCAGTTATCAGCTGAGGTTCATCACAATTTTAAGCGATACAATTCACACGGGCAGACTTTTTTAAGACGCTTTGGAAAAACCTTACTACTCACCCACCTGGCCGTCTGACCTCCTCTCCCCCAGGAGCAGATCCTCTGAACAAGAGTAACACAAAACCGAACAGCAAAAATCACGTTTCCAGCCGCCCAGGAGCCCGTGAATTCTGGTCGTTGCTGGAAACGCTGCTTCTCCCTCCAGCGCTGAAAGCAGGTGAAGTTCAACACAGCAGTATAACAGCAGAACATCTCTTTGCTGTGCCCATACCTCCACCATGGGGTGGTGGGGTTTTTTTTTGGGGGGGAGCGGGTTATAAATTTCTTTGCGATTAATCAAAATAATCACTTTAGAACTATTTCCTGCGTATGAAAACCAGGTCTCTTCCCACTTTACGTGACTTTTCCCAAGATAACAGTAACCACGGCGCACTTCTGACAGCACGCGTATGGGCTACAGTGACCGCTTCTGCAAACTCCTTGTATTTCTGAGTATTTTAATTCTACTTTATTCCCCTTGGGATCTCTTCCTCACCCTCTTTCAGTCCATGTCACCTGTGGCACAGAAAAAGCTTGGGGTGAATCCAGCACCCACGAAGGCAAAGGCCCAGGGCTGAAGCTGGGGTCAATATCTAACTTCTCTCAGCTCTGCCGGTGCAGCTCAATTTTGGACCCAAAATACAAATGCCAATTCTTGTCCTCTCCTTCAGCAAGGGATTTTCTGACAAACCAACTGATACCCTTCCATCGCTATTTTATTCCAGCGTTTCAGGATAACCTGCATCTCAAGTGCAAGTAAAAATGTATTAACAATTCTAAGTGTTAAAAGCATTTTGCACAAATTCAGACACTTTTGGTATAAGAAAATGAGAAAAGGGGCTTTTTGAATAGCCTGCTTCAAACCAATTAAATCTGATACTTTCACAAATAGGTATGAAAACATTTGAGATTTACCTTTCTTATCACCACCACAAAACCTTCTTATCTCCTTATTTTTGAAAAAGATATAAATGCTAGGAATATCTAAGAGAACTGTAATATTATTAAGGGATGTATAAATTCTTGGAAAATACTTTCTATCTTTTTAAAATATATTATATATTTCAATACCATAATTTAAACTAAACTAGAACATTACAGAAAAATTAGTAACAGTATGTAAATCAAAGAAAATTGTCCAAAAATCTCTATTGAGAAATCCCTTTTTATGATTATTTACATCTCTCATTGTACCTCCAGAAGTGGCGGAGGCACCGCTGTCCGTTACCAAGTCTTAACTCCTAAATACCTTTAACAGGAGGAGGGATGTGGTCTGTAACCACCGTGCAACACCCAGAAACCACCTCCATTCAGTTTCTGAATAAGGAAAGAGATGTAAAAATGAGCGCAATTTTGCTGGAAAACCAAATGAATGGATACAAGCGATTCAGGCAACGTGTTGTGACTGTTTGTCTGGAAAAAAAAAATTAAAAAAAATCACAAGCCAGTTGTTTTCTCGGTAAAAAATACTGCAGACTAGGTATGCATTTGCATACTGCATACAGGTATGGATTTGGAGGCTTCCCGCACTGCTCGGAGGCCACCAGGCAACAAAACTGAACGAAGGCTGCACGAGCCAAGTGCCCTTCCCACGCAGCGGAGAAGGGGAGCAGGGCTCAGCGCCGCCGCACGCTGCCCCTCCGCACAGCCAGCCCCACCCTAATGCTAACACTGAGGGCCGATTAATACACTAATAAACATATCATACGATTAATACACTAATAAACATATTGTAAATACCAATACCGTCATCCAAGGGAAGTTTGCAAGCTGCAGTCTGAATGTTTACAGAGTAGAACTGTTAACAAAAACCCCCTTGCCAATAAATAAGAAGGTACATAGTGCAATGGGCTGTGTTTTATACGTAGAACAGAGCAAAACCGGTGTCTCGGAGATCCCTTATATTAAAACAATGGCCTATTTCTTTTTTATGAGCTCCATCTAATGGTTGATTTTGTTTTTACACAGCTACTTAGAAATATTTCATTGTGGCTGTCTTACGCTAAACTTAAGAGAAAAAGACAGCATGTCTCCAATGTTAAAAGTGAAGAAGAGCATATTTGTTCGAAAGGAATTTAGCTTTTCATGCAGAAAGGTAAAAGCAGCTATTTCTATGAAACATTGGAAATACTTTTTAAAAGACTTCACATCTTTTAAACACGTCAGTATTTTTCTAGCTTTGCAGTAGTTTTCTACCTTTGCAGTGATGGAAATATGCCAATACTAATTTGGCATCTTTAAACTGAGAGTAGCAGAGGCGCGTAAGCGCAGACCACTGGGCAGCCAGAACTGTGCTCAACGAGGAAATTCATTTTCAGTAGGTTGTGCCTAAAATATTCAAAGGCAAGCGACTGGCAGTATGATTTTTTTCTGTCAGGAAGGATTGCCCTCTACGCTTCTGGTAGAGAAAGAGCATTTGGCGAGGAACCTTGCCGTGGGCCACGTGCATGGCTATCGAACGGTGCCCGATACGTGGGAAAGGTGAGAGCCGGGGTGGGAGCGAGAGCATCCCCCAGCGTGCGGGTTCTAGCGGAGAGCTGAAATACAGGCTTGCCTTCTGGGCTATTTGTGCTTAGCTAGGACTGGGCTGTTGAAGCACATAAAAATAATATGAAAAATACTTTAAAAATAGTATTTCTTCAATATTCAAAATTTATCCTTTAAGGATAAATTAATACAAACTTGAGATAAACTTGAAAGATTCCAATTTAAGAGTCTGAAAACCTGATATTTTAAGGTGTTATAATTTAAAACAGAACCATGCACACCAGCGGGCAGAGGATGCTGCTGCTGTGCTACGAACAGGAGCAAAAGCGCGTGCTGCAGCAACGGCTGTCAGACCCAGTGAGACCCCCCCATGACCTCTCCCAACATAACCAAAAAGCCACCCCGGACCAAAGCAGAGACCTGCCTGGATTTGCTCGGGGCACCCCAGAACAAGGAGACATTCGCTCCCCGCCCGGGCTGAGTGCACCGTGCCCGTTGTGTCTGGTGATGTTTAATTTCCTGCGGAGATTGATCAGGAACCCGCGACACCGACTCCGTGTCCTCGGCCACCGGTCAGCGCTACGCTCCTTAGCTTCTATTTAAAACAATCTGAAACTGATTAAAAATCAATTATCATCTGCTTGCAGGAATGAAACGAAGGAGGACGCAAGAACTGAAATCTCAGGTGTTAATTGCAGGCATGAACATCCTCAAAACCACCTAAAAATTATCAAAATATGCATGCATTTTGTGCAAGAAGAAAAATAATCTTCTTTATTAAAGAGAAAATGGGTTTAAATTCAAATGTTAAACATAAGAACGTATCAAAAGTTACCAAATAAACTGCACCTCAGTGGTAAGCATCACTGTTGGTTTTCTACTTGGCAGTCCAACGTTGTGCAACGGCAGGCTTGTTATGCTTTTTTCTTACCATAACATATTAGAAAGATCCTATCTTGAAGAAAATGCTAATACCTTTGTGTGAATTTCACCATGCAAAACCGCACATTCACGTTTCAAAGCAAAAGCTCAAAATGAATATTTTAATTTTCATCTGCTGTTTCCTGTCTCATTTAAAAAGAAGAATTATTCAGCCATAAAATACTGAGCTATTTACATATACTTTGTATTAATTTTACTACCTCTCCATAAGCCACCAAATTTCTTCAAACTGCACTCCCTCTCAAAACCCAGAAAAAGCCACCTCCCATCCCACGGCAGCGTCAAACCGAACAGGTGACTTGGGTATGGAAACACAAATTAAACACAATTTAAATCCAGAAGAATTATTCAGCCATAAAATACTGAGCTATTTACATATACTTTGTATTAATTTTACTACCTCTCCATAAGCCACCAAATTTCTTCAAACTGCACTCCCTCTCAAAACCCAGAAAAAGCCACCTCCCATCCCACAGCAGCGTCAAACCGAACAGGTGACTTGGGTATGGAAACACAAATTAAACACAATTTAAATCCAGAGCTGATAATCTTTACGAGCCAGCAGAAATAAACTGGAAAAACTGTAACTGAAAAATAAGTAAATCTTGTCTTCTACTTCGTTTATATAAAAATGCAGAATGCTTCTTGAAGTTTGTAAGAATGTAAAACAACGCCAGCTACTAGAAATGAGCTCGTTTAAACAATAATTGACTTTTTCACCCCTCTAAAAAACACAATTTTGTGGAAACACAATTTAAAACCTGGCAGGCAGCTGAATCACTTTGCACTCCCGAGTCTGTGCTATGGCAGGAGTCACCATCGGCACATCACGTCACCAAGCTCCGGCACTCACAGACTCCCCGGCGATACGGCCACACTCTATCAAGAATAAACTCCTGGCTCTAGGGCCGCAGCTGCCCGGCGAGCGCGGGTGCTATCACTGAGGCCTCGGGTACCTCGGCATCGTACTCCCAGAGCTGGTTCCCCCTCATGTGGTGGCACTTCAGCATGATGATGGGGCCGTTCAGCCTTGAGACGTCCAGGCACAAGTCGTCCGTGCGGATCTCTTTGTCAGCAGTGTAAGAAAATACCTGGAAACAGAAAACAATGGCAGTGACAAAGAATTAGCCAAAGTCCTAGCCGACTGCTGATTCAGAATATGCATAATTTCCACTCCGGTGGAGCATAACTGCTTTCTTCTCCAAACATTGAGATTTCACCAGAGTTTTGTGCAAGTTTCTCCGCTAGTGAATGTCTGTTGCACCTAAGAGAAGGAGTACCATGTTTAGGAAAAGAAATTTTATGGGACCAAGCCCTGGAATCACCCAGGCATACACTCAGTTTTGCCTCCTGGGAATTCTACAGAAGCATGTAAATGTGATCAGTGTCTTCAGGAGAAATTTCACAGATCTTTTAATACAATGGATAAACCAAGCCCATCATTGGAAAAACACAAACTTCCCTAAACTAAGTCTTCCTCCTAGTATCTACCTTAACTTTGGGTACCAAGGATTATCTGCGTTAAATGAGTATTTCAGAAATATCGGGTCACTTAAAATTAGGAAATAAATTAAGACACGAGAGAACGCTCCCTCAACAAACTTCCATCAAACCAGTTACAAGTTTCAGGGGGACTGTTTAACTGAACGCCTTCAGCGAGGAGCCAGTTGGATGAAACCCAGGCTGTGCTTGACTCTTGCCCCTGAACATGTGCACGATAAGGTTTTGTTCATTTACGGTTAACTACATATGAATGCATTAGATGGTCTGGCTGCGTTGCAGAGACGCCAGGCAGCGGGCTGAGCTCTCGTGGCGTCACCGCTGAGGCCCTGCAGCAGGGTTCAGGCTGATGGGGAAGCTCGCTCAGTTAGAGCTCAGCACTTTGCGGGTGGGTTTGGGAGCTGGAAAAGCACTAAATCACTGCGACTGCAGTTCCTTGATAACTTTAATCCGCCATGGGGTCTCCAGCCATCCCTCCCGCACGCTCCGCACCAGCCACACAAGGAGCGAGGTCCGCTGCCCGGAGAGGGATTAAAATGTGGAGACCACAGGGGAAGGGGGAGGAAAGGAAGGAAGGTGGCAGAGAACTGCAAGCAGTTACACCCGATTACATGGCCTGGACACATGGGAAGTATCTCTCTGTTCCTGAGCCACTGCTCACAACCTCCATAATATTGCTGGCCCCAGCACAAAAGCTCCTGAAATGGCCTTAGGAAACAGCCTTGGGTCTGTATTGCTTCATGCTTTCCTTGCAGAAAATCCTTTTCTTAGCAGAAAGTGAATTATTTCCGTTCTGCCCCCTCTCCTCAGCAGAAGGAGACCAGAGAGCAGAGCCTCAGCGTGTCCACCAGGATCCGCCATCCCACTACAGACAGCACCTGGTCTGCTGCTGGAGCTCACACAGCTGCAGTACCACCGCGGTGGAAATAGAAAGAGGAGAAAGTTTGCAGTTAATAAAATAATGTCAAGACCATGACAAATGATAGAATTATGATGTCCCATTCAGGTTTTGATGAGTATAAACCTGTATCTACACCTGCAACGGAGAAACAGTGCTGTCAAAAATATGCAAAATATTCACTTATGTGGCAATGTTTAAATTAACAGAGAAATATAATAAAAGCACGGACAAATAAGCATGTGGACATACACCTCAACTACTTGGTGATTTCCGAGTTCCTATACAACCCACTCCTCTTGTAAAAGGACTACAGTATAATTAAAAGAGCTGAGACTGGGATCTGAACCACAAGTAATGCAGTGCCCCAGGGGATGCCCATCCGTTGAGACTTCCAGTGAAACATTGAATTGTACTCAAGGAAGAAGAATCAATCAAGCAGCAAACGAAAACTTTTTCAGTGAATTAAGCAGAGGGCGGGAGATACCAACGTCACTTGGAAACACGACGCTTGGCAGTGGGGCACTAGTAAAGGTAATTCTCCCCATGTAACTCTTAAAACCTATACACTGCACAAAGCAGCCAAGGGAATAAAGGCAAGGATTTTGAAATTGGAGGTTCAGACAGATCTCTCGGAGCAATCACGGAGTACGAAACCAGCATGCCAAGGTGGCAGGGGAGCAGCCAGGTCCAAACCAAAGCCGTGAAGGAGAGCAAGAGCTGCTAGGATCAGTGGTCTTTCCATTTTCCAAATTTCTTATTCACCGCTCGCCAGCCACTTGTCTGGGTGAAAATCTGGGATGCAAAGGTATGGCAAAGCACCAGCTGCCTTTTGCATTTATTCATCCAGTGATAAATCACCGAGATCAAATCTGAGGGTCTCAAAGTGTTGCTTTCACTTAAAAACACATCAGCCACAGGCCAATACTCGGGCTTCTCTCCAGTGGCAAGAGAGACTTTTAAGTATTAACCAGCCAGCGCTGTGCTGAGATCACACTCCGAAGCATGCTGTCCTTTTGGAAGGGGGTGAAATGAGTCCACGGCACATCAAAAATGCCACTTTGTGTTCGTACGGGTATTTTCTACGTTTCCCTTCCCCACTTTTCTGTGTGCAGAAGCAAGTCCCACAGCCTTTAAAAAAACCGTATAACCTCTTTTCTGTTTTGCAAACCTGAGTCTTGCCAAAGTGCTGAAAACTCCCTATATGTACTAGCTTGTTCAGTTACATTCTGGAAGTATTTAGAGAAGAGCATTTATAGCTGCGGGCTGACTGCGGAGGAGACACGGGTGTCATTTTGAAAAGCAGCTCTAACTGTGTCCATCTCCGGCACATCTCAGCGAGAACTAAAGCATCCACAGGTACTCGAGTATGTTAAATGCATGGCAGTAGAAGCAGTTTTTTCAAATTTTCAAATTCATACAAGCTGTCACACATGCACTTCCCAAGTTTCAGTTTGTGTCCTGAATCTGTGTGTTTTTTCCAACTGTTGGGGTTTTTTTTATAGTAAGATGTCTGCCTACACCTTGTCCCTGGTAAGTAAAAACCAAACACTGATGAAAAAGGTCTACATTTGATCAGACTGATTACTGGTTTGTTTTGTAGAGGTCCAACAGATGTACATCCTCTTGATCAGATGAGCTGATATTAGCAAGTCAGGCTAAGTTCATGGAAGTGCGTAAGGTTGCAAAAAAAAAATAAAGTCAGGATCATTTGTGAGGTTTCATCAAAAATTGTATAAAAGCAGTCCACGTTCTGGACTAAACTGAAGTCTGAAGGTTTTATAAAAAAATATTCAACTGTTTATGACCTTCTCATTTATATTAACATCTGGAAATTCTTCTCAAAATAAAACAACGCAACAACAAAATCAGCCTTCTTCAACCATTCATCAAGACCTCCAAAAGTCCCCTTCCAGTACACTGTTTTGAAATTATTTTTGGAATAATAAGCACAGAAGTCAAGAAGGAAGAAAATTTGGGAGAAATTAATAAACAACCTAAAATAGGTTCAAAAAGACTATTGGTGCTATAACATTAAGCTGTGATACCTATAAATAACTATATAAATATATACCTATTTGTTGGGAGGGATATATCTCTCTCCCATAGACACGTTTATTTCATTTGTAAGTAAAACATGCCCTACTTATCCAGTGGTGCTACTCATCCTGAGTGCACTGCTCAGTATTCAGACTCCAAGCGTCCCGTCCTTAAAATCATCCTTCGTCAAGACTAGCCTAAGACTGGATCGGGGAGAGAAAGATATCATGTAGTTGAGGTATTGAAGACCTGGGCTGAAACAACCATTATTCAAACCCAGATAGGATAATAATGTTCAGCTACAAGCTACCATAATTAATATTCAACAAGAAAACCTTTTGGGAGGGGCTTTGGTTTTCCCTTTAAACACCTTCAGCCAAAAACCTTACTGAGAGAATACTGGACTTAATTGCCTGCTGTCATGCTATAACTGGAACAAGAAACATGGCCAAATAATCTAATAATCTGAAAATCACCGATATCATTTGTAGCACAAAGCATCTCTCACTCGACGTAGCAGTTTGGGTTCAAGAATCACTCATATGAATATATTGTACAGATATTTCATCTTTTACTATGCTCATTACTAAGAGATTTATCCATTACCATTTATCCTGAAGCAAATTCCAACTTTAATTTTCAACTTATTTGTGTTGGTTTTTTACAGTAAACATATTTGCATCAGGCATTTTCTTCTAGCCTCAGAGACATGTTTTTAGCCTCAGAGAGATGTTTTCTTCTGTGTTTTATAGAAAGCAAATACTTGTATTTTGAAATGTATTTCCATTTGCATATTTCTTTTTCCTCTCATCTTTGATAATTGCAATCCACTGTTCCATTATATCTTTTGAAAGAATAAGTGATGTCTGAATTAACAATTACAGAGGATGGGTTTGAAAAACACGCCGTCTTAAAAAAGAAAAATGCATGCTAATTAAGACGATGTAAAATTATCAGGCTAGCATATTGCTACCATCCATATTAATTATAGATATAATTATATTAATGCCATATAAAAATAGAGGGTGAGGAACATGTTGCCTTTCATAGCTAATGAAATAGTATATCTCACGCCACACATTGCAGCGCAAGACGGGAAAGGGCTTCCCGAGCAGGAGTCCAGTCTCCCGCTACCGTAAGCACCCCCGTTCTGGGGACGCGACCGACCTGCCTGCCACGCAGCGGCGGGGAGCACAGGCTGGCTTCCCAGGGCCCGGGGCAGCACGCCTGCTCCAAACGTCAGGCAAAGCCTGAGGACCAGCGCGGAGCGAGATCCCGGGAGCTGCTCCAGGGGCTCAGCAGCACATTCAGAGAGACGAGTTACTCCCTATCGCTCGCAGACCCGTGAGCACCAATCTACTGCATCTTTCTACTGGGCTGCAGTTTATTTACTAACACGCGGGCTGCTGAGGCGTGAAAATAAAGTTCTTTCCAGTTTTCCCTTGCTTTTTTTCCACAGCTGTCCCCAAGGGCTGGTGGCACTCGCCGTGGCCAGCCTTCCCCTGCAGCCGTGCAGGGGCTTTGGGTCTGGCTGGAGAAGAGCGGTCCTGTCGGGCAGGAGAAGGGGATGCTCCATCACCAAGAGGAAAGTTCCTGGGCAAGAGCCGCTCCCCGAGACCTGTGGGTGTTTGCCTGGTTGCTTAATCCCAATCA